GAAGGAAGGAAGGAAGGAAGGAAGGAAGGAAGGAAGGAAGGAAGGAAGGAAGGAAAGAAACTGGGAGAGGGAAGGAAAGTGACCTCATGGAGCTACATCGCTTCTTTCAAGAACTCAAATGTAATATTTTGGGCACTCTTTAATTTTAGTGGCAAAAATGGACACATCAGTATCTCTCTGGAAGTCATGTGGCTTATGTACCTAAAAATATCTGTCCTTTTTTGGTGACAGGTTCCTGTGGACAGCGACAGACACTCTAACCACCCAGTCCTAGCCCTACTGGAGGATGTTTTAGCACTTCCTTCTCCACATATGATCACAATGAAATCACAGGAACCAAATTTTACCCTCAGAAGGCCTCATTCCTACTTCCCCAAAGTAAATGAGCTATTTGAATTGTCATCCTTTCTACGTAAAAACTGCGCTGTATCTCCACCTATTTTTTCTTCACTTCCTCCTCCCTTTGAGAAAAAAGACTTTTTCTTGACTGGACTTACTCCTGGGCTGACGACCTCCACCTGCATCCTCCAGAACTTGCTTAATCATCTGTAATTTCTTCATTTCCACTGAATCCTTCTCTTCTGCCTACATACAGGCTCAGTTCTCCATAAAAATACCATTAACAACAACTGAACAGAATTTTGATCAATTCTGACACCACTTTCAAGCTATCTTGAATGTTCCTTTGTTTCTTTCATCTATAATGACATAAGATTGCCACCTGCCCTCACTTCCTCACCAAGACTACATTCTAGTGCCCTCTGTCATCAGGATGCTTACTATCACACTGAACTATACTTTCTGACCCCTCTGTATTATTTGGTACTGTTAACCATTCCCTCCTTCATGAACCTGTCTTATCTTCAGGCTCTGTCCAAGTTCATCTCCTAGCTCTCTGTTTTGCTCCTACCCTTTCTGCAGGATTTTCTTCTCCTGAGCCTTCAGCATTTCTTAAGCATCTGTCTTTGATCTTTCACTTCACTTGCTTATTATAGTAGCCACTAGCCACATGTGATCATTAAATTTAAATAAATTGAAATTAAATTAGCCAGTCACTAAAGGTCAAATATTGTGATTCTATTTATATGAAATGACTAAAATAGGCAAACCCATCAAGACAGAAAAAAACACTAGTGGCTGCACAAAGCAGTGGAAGCTGGGGGAAGATGGGGAGTGATTGTTAATGAATACAGGGTTTCTTTTCAGGGCAATGAAAATGTTCTAAAATTGACCGATGCTTGCACAACTCTGAATACACTAAAAATCACTGGATTGTGCACTATAAATGGGTGAATTATATGGTATGTGAAGTACATTCCAATAAAGCTGTTATTAACAATTAACAATTCAGATCCCTAGTCACACTAGCTAAATGTCAAGCATTCAATAGCCACATGTGGATAGTGGCTATTGTATTAGCCAGCACAGACAGAGAGTATTTCCATCATCACAAAGTTCTTTTATACAGTGCTGATTGAGTGGAACTGGGAGATTGTATTGGTCATGTCTTCATTTCAGTCTTCATCATCCTAACATGGTATCTGAAGAATGTCAGGCAATTAATAAATAGTAGGTGAATGCTAATGAATCAACCAAATGATTGCTTCCAGATAGCACAATGGTAGCTAAAATAGATGTCAAGTAATACATTATAACAAGGTTTTATTCTATTTACATTGTTGCTTGGTTTGGTAAGGAATGCTATTAAGGAGATATCACATAAACTCTTTTAAACATTCTCTCTTGTCCATGAGGGCAAAAGTAAAGTTAGTGTCATAGACAATGCATTAGTGTTTCTCAGACTACAGAAAGAAAATCTGCAACAAAGCTGTGGGTGAGGTACAAAGGATTTAGAGCTGAAGTATTGCAAGGAACCATTGACAACTGTGAAGTTATACAGGTTGTTTGCTTGCTTTTTTGTGGAGAAGGGTGAGGTGGGGGGTGAGTAAGTAAATGTGAAGTAACAATCTGTGTTGGAACGTATAACGTGAAGAAAGGCTTTACAAATTTTGGATCAGTGACATGTACAGTAAGTTTATATTTTCTGGGGTGTTCATTTCCTTTTCATAAGTAAAGAAATGCAAATGTTTCCCTGCAGCCTCCAAAATATATTTAAATATATATTTTATCAATATAAAAGTTTAAAATGTTTAAGAAGCTTCTAGATAGCTGAACATGCAGAGGTTCCTAAAGGATGGCATGCCCTGGGAGGGAATGGAAGGTGCATACCCCTCCCTATACCTTACCCTACACATCTCTTCATGTGGACACTTGTTAATATCCTTTATAATAAACCAGGAAGCACAATAGTTTTAAGCAAAGGTAACTAGTCAATGATCATTGAAAAGTGAAGAACTCATGGCAGCTGAGTCTCAGAATACAATCAGCCTAAAGATCATCAAATAGATTTTATAAAGATTCAGGTAAGATTAGGAGTTCTTTTTAATAATAATTTGTTCCCTGTTACTGCTACAGTATTTATTTAATAAACATATTTTAAATAAGAACTTTAAAAATAATATGTTATTGAGGACTTCTGCATCAATGTTCATCAGGGATATTGGTCAAAAATTCTCTTTTTTTTGTTGTGTCTCTGCCAGGCTTTGGTATCAGGATGATGCTGACCTCATAAAACGAGTTAGGGAGAATTCCCTCTTTTTCAATTGATTGGAATAGTATCAGAAGGAATGGTACCAGCTCCTCTTTGTACCTCTGGTAGAATTTGACTGTGAATCCATCTGGTCCTGGACTTTTTTGGTTGGTGGGCTATTAATTATTGCCTCAATTTCAGAGCCTGTTATTGGTCTATTCAGGGATTCAACTTCTTCCTCGTTTAGTCTTGGGAGAGTGTAAGTGTCCAGGAATTTATCCATTTCTTCTAGACTTTCTAGTTTATTTGCATAGAGTGTTTATAGTATTCTCTGTTGGTAGTTTGTATTTCTGTGGGATTGGTGATGATATCCCCTTTATCATTTTTTATTGCGCCTATTTGATTCTTCTCTCTTTTCTTCTTTATTAGTCTTGCTAGCGGTCTATTTGTTGATCTTTTCAAAAAACCAGCTCCTGAATTCATTGATTTTTTGAAGGGTTTTTGTGTCTCTATCTCCTTCACTTCTGCTCTGATCTTAGTTATTTCTTGCCTTCTGCACCAAATCCAGCAGCATATCAGAAAGCTTATCCACCATGATCAAGAGGGCTTCATCCCTGGGATGTAAGGCTGGGTCAACAGACACAAATCAATAAACGTAATCCATCATATAAACAGAACCAAAGACAAAAACCACATGATTATCTCAATAGATGCAGAAAAGGCCTTCGACAAAATTCAACAGCCCTTCATGCTAAAAACTCTCAATAAATTCGGTATTGACCGGACGTATCTCAAATAATAAGAGCTATTTTTGACAAACTCACAGCCAATATCATACTGAAAGGACAAAAACTGGAAGCATTCCCTTTGACAACTGGCACAAGACAGGGGTGCCCTCTCTCACTACTCCTATTCAACATAGTGTTGGAAGTTCTGGCCAGGGCAATCAAGCAAGAGAAAGAAATAAAGGGTATTCAATTAGGAAAACAAAGTCAAATCGTACCTGTTTCCAGATGACATGACTGTATATTTAGAAAACCCCATCGTCTCAGCCCAAAATCTCCTT